CATGGCCGCTGAGCCTGTGCGTCCAGAGCCTGTGCTCCGCAACGGGAGAGGCCACAACAGGGAGAGGCCAGCGAACCAAAAAAAAAAAAAAAAAAAAAAAAAAAAGAATGCATGTATAGGTATAACTGAATCACTTTGCTGTACAGCAGAAATTAACACAACATTGTAAAGCAACTATACTTCAATTAAAAACAAAACAAAAAACAAAACCAAAATATGGTACCTTTAAAAAATAGCACCCAAGCCCTGAAAGCAGGCTTCCGGTGCCAGAGCTTGTATGGTGTGAGTCCCTACTTACGTGGAGCCCAAAGCAGGCCACTGGCTGCTGCAGAGGGTTACTGTAGTCCCCCTGAGTTGGGAAGAGTGGAAAGCTTATTGTCACTTTTTCCAACTAACACTTTAGAACAGAGGCCTTGAAAGAACCTGGCCCTGAGGTAGAAATTGTAAATTAAATTACGTTGCATTCTTTTATGTTATGTGGATCCTTACAGTAAGTATAGGGGGTGTTGCTGAAAAGGAGGTGATACTTTCGCCTGTGTGTCAAATTATTTCATTTCTCTGTGCCTCAGTGTTTCTATCTGTAAAATGGACACAATAATAGCTACATTATGGGGTTGTGGTAAGGATCAAATGAGATACTGCATAATAATTTAGAGCTAAGACCTCCAACCTCCAAAGATCTATGAAGTAATGTATGTAGAATGCTCAGCACAGGATCAAGGACATAAGAAGTGTAGATGTGCATTAGTAGTATTACTTGTGGAGAAGTATTAGTAGTGGTTTGAGCCTGGATTCAGACATTACACTGCTCAGGTTCAAATCTGTTTTCTCCCACTAGTAGGTTTATGACGTTGGGCATGTTACTTTACTATGCCTCTCTGCCTCAGTCTCCCCACCTGTAAAATGGGAAGAATAGCAGCTCCTGTCTCATAGGATTGGTGTGAGATTTCAATGAATTTGTGTCCCTGAAGAGTGCGTGTTACATAGTAAGTCTTCTCCAAGTGTTAGCTATTAGTAGTAGTAGTACAAGTACATTTGCCCCAGATAAATTTTGCTTCCTTCAGAATTTTTCCTAAAGTTAGCCATAGCATCAAGCTATGCTTGTCTCTGAATACTTTATTCCAGATTTCCCTATTGACAAATTTTAGCACTCTGTGTGTGTGTGTGTGTGTGTGTTTGTGCATGGGCACATGAGTGTGTATGGCTTTTGAGGTAGGTGTAACCTACTCTATATCCCTTATGGAGTCATGTCTGCTATGAGCAGATCATGGTATTTTCTTTTTTATTTGATAAATAAAAACATGGTGAGGTTGCCAGTGATTTATGCACTCTGAAGCTGTCAGAAGGTATACCGAGCTTATTTTTGGTTCTAAGAATACTAGATGATACAGAAACACCTCCTGGGGGACTTCCCAGGTGGCGCAGTGGTTAAGAATCCGCCTGCCAGTGCAGGGGGCACGGGTTCGAGCCCTGGTCCAGGAAGATCCCACATGTCGTGGAGGAACTAAGCCCGTGCACCACAACTACTGAGCCTGCGCTCTAGAGCCCGTGAGCCGCAACTACTGAGCCCGTGAGCCGCAACTGCTGAAGCCCATGCGCCTAGAGCCCATGCTCCGCAACAAGAGAAACCACTGCAATGAGAAGCCCGCGCACTGCAATGAAGAGTAGCCCCGGCTCTCTGCAACTAGAGAAAGCCCGTGCGTAGCAACGAAGACCCAACACAGTGAAAAATAAATAAATTTTTAAAAAAGAAAAAAAGGAACACCTCCTGGGTCTGGCATTGTTGGAGAATGTGTCATTTCATATAAGTGGATTTTTCTGATAACTAACGCTTACTCCATTAATTTTTAGCCACTTTGGATACAAATCTTTCTAAAAAAGTATAACATAATTTTCATTTCTTACATGAAAGGCACCAGGCATATTTTGATTTCTTTTTGATAATTCAGGCTGGCCTGAGCATCAGATGAATATTGTAAGGAGGCAATATCTGGCATCATGGTTAAGCACATACCTTCTCTAGTTTGACAGACTTGGGTCAGAGTCTTGACTCTGACTGTGTGACTCTGAGAAAAGTTACTTGGCCTCTCTCTGCTCCAGTTTCCTCATCTGTGTAATGGAGACATTAGTAATATCTACTGCATAGGATTATTTTAAAGATCAAATGAAATAATGCACTTAAAACACACTTCATATGTCACTGCACATAAGACACACATAATAGCTGCTCACACTGTTATTACTAGGTAGTTTTGTACACAAAATTATGCCTGTAAAAAAAAAAAAGCAAAATTATGTCTGTAAGGGGTGTATAGCAGCCATACCAAGCCACTCCTAGAACCCTGAGGGAAGCCTAATAAAATCAGCACATAAGGAATGAGACTGAAAGCAAAGCTGGGGTGTACCCAAGCAGCCAAGAATACTGACCATCCAGTCTCAAGCTCCCAAGTAGCTAGGGAGACAGACATCAACATAAATATTTGCAAACTTAAAAAAATTATTTTAAAATTGAATATATTTGACATACAACATGGTGTAAATTTAAGGTGTACAATGTATTACTTTGATAGATTTATATATTGTAATATGACTGCCGTTGTAGCTCACATCATCTAAGTATAGTACAATATTGTTCTCTGTGTTCACTACAGCAGGCATTAGAGCACTATGGCATATTTGCTACTTTTTGCAAGTTGGTACCCTTAAACAATGTCACTTTTCATACCCTACCCCCACCCCTTGGTAACCACCATTTGACTCTCTGTTTTTTTATGTTTGACTTTTTTAGATTCCACATATAAGTGAGACCATACAGTATTTTTCTTTCTCTGTCTGACTTATCTCACTTAGCATAATGTGCTCCAGTTCCATCCCTGTTGTCACAAATGGCAGACTGTCCTCCTTTCTCATGGCTGAATAACAGTCCATTGTGTGTACATGCCACATCTTTTTTTATCCATTCACCCACTGATGGGTATTTAGATTGTTTCCATATCTTGACACTTTAGATAGAGTATCTCTCAGACAGTGCCTAGTATAGGGCATGCTGAATATTTTTTTGTTGATGCTATAAAACTGTTAATGTATTAAAAGCAAGAAGAGCAGGGCTTGATTATTGCTAAGAACACACTATTATTTATATAAAAAAGAGTGGCAGCTTGAAATGGTCAATTTGGAAATGTAGAAAAATGAAGCTGGAGTTGCAGCAGAACACTGACAATTTGAGTGTTGGTTGTGGGGCACAGTGACCACATGAAAGAGCTGTTGCCTTCTGACCCTCTGGGTGGCCAGTTGGCCTCTGTAAGTGACCTCCATCTTTGTGTTCTCATATGGCTACAGTGTCCTAGGGTCTCTAGGGGATCACACAGCTAGCAACTGGTCAGGGAAGTCTGCTGAGACACCTGGGAGACAAAGGTATCTCTGAAGCACCTCCCAGACTTTGATAGTTTCTCTCTCTCTTTTTTTCTAATATTTCCCCTTTTTCTTTTTTCTAATTTAATTTAATTTTTAAAAATTATTTTTTATTGAATGAAAAATCTTTTAAATTCTATAGTGCTTTACAAATTTCAAAAGTTTCACACACATGATTTCATATAATCCCATAATAACCCCTTTTTTTCCCCCTCTACCCCTATATTGCCCCTCCCACCTTCCCTCTCCACACAGGTAACCACTAGCTTGTTCTCTATATCTGTGAGTCTGCTTTTTTTTGGTTTTATTCACTAGTTTGTTGTATTTTTTAGATTCCACATATAAGTGATATAATACAGTATTTGTCTTTCTCTGTCTGACTTATTTCACTTAGCATAATGCCAAGTCCATCCATGTTGCTGCAAATGGCAAAATTTTCTTCTTTTTTATGGCTGAGTGGTATTCCATTGTGTGTGTGTGTGTGTGTGTGTCTAATATATCACATATTCTTTATCCACTCATCTGTTGATGGACACATAGGTTGCTTCCATACCTTGGCAATTGTAAACAATGCTGCTATGAACATTGGGGTGCATGTATCTTTTCAAATTCGTGTTTTTGCTTTTTTTGGTTATATACCCAGGAGTGGAATTGCTGGGTCACATGGTAGTTCTATTTTTAGAGAAACCTCCATACTGTTTTCTACATTTCTACAAACCTACAAACCTAATATACAAACCTAACATACACCTAATATACAAACCTACAAACTTAATCTACAAACCTAATATATAATGTTTTCTACATTTTCTACATTTCTACAAAACTCTATTTTTGAGAAACCTCCATACTGTTTTCCACAGTGACTGCACCAATTTATTTATTTGTTTGTTTGTTTATTTATTTATTTATTTAAAATGTATTTATTGGCTGCATTGGGTCTTTGTTGCTGCACATGGGCTTTACTTGT